AAAAGAACTTTTTCTTCGCCAGGAATTTTTTGGAGAGTCTGATAAATTACAAAAATGTTGCCAAATAAATTTGTTACAGCCGCGCTTCTCATATTTATTTATTTTATAAAATAGCTAAGCATGTATAGGAAGTTTAAATACCGTAGTATACTTTTATACAAATATTGCATTGATACATTTTGAAAGTCAGCCGAAACTTTGGTGTTTCAAATTACATGATCCAGTGGGTTAAGTGACCCTAACTATTCTGTTTTTTTTCAGTTTTCGTTGCAATATTTATTGTCGCTGTTTATTTGTTGTCATCTGTGCCAATAGGTTTGAAAAGAAAAAAAAAAAACAGCAGTTAAGTTGTGATTTCATTAACATTATTATTTTTATTATTAGCACCTGGTGCCACCAGAGTCCATGTCGCACATCTACAATAGATGAGCCAGGTTACCCTACACCTACTACTACTGAAATAATGAAGTGAGGTAAAGGGTAACATACTCATTTTGTTTCATTCTACCATTCATATATATATGTTTATATGTATGTACTATATAAAAAATGAAAAAAGCGAAGAACATAGACTACTGTGAAAGACAGGGCAACGGACATAGACATAGGAAATAAAAAGAAAGAAAGAAAATATGCAACTTTTTTTCCATTAATCTATTTTTGAATGCTTAACAACAACAAGAAGAACAAGTAGTAGCAGCAACAACAAAGAAAAAATAATGTAGAACATTTTTGTTTAGTTTATTTCTGTGCTCTTCTTTTTATTCATATTTTTTCTGTTGCTGATGTTGTTGTTCTTGTTGTTATTATCAGTTTGGCCTGGCTGGCTGGCGGACTGGCTGCTTGACTGAATGTTCTTTGTTCAATTGTTCCATATATCAATTCAGTTCGTTCATAATGTTGTTGTATGTTTTTGTTATTGGTGGGGTTGAGTTTTTGTTTTCTTTTTTTGTTTTTGCTTTGTGTCCTCCCGTTATCAGTTTCAATCGCGTCGTATTCTACTGCTGCTGCTTGCAGCACTACTGAACGAACAATAACAAATCGAAATCGACGAATGAAGAGTAACAATGAGTAAAAAACAAGAACAACAACAACAAAAATGAATGAATGAACATGTACGAAACAAATAAAAATGTAGCTCGATCCAGCATAAGAATAAAATACAGTTCAAGGAAATTTTAAATGGTGAAACAGCAAAATGTTTTGTGTATTCAAAATAAATTGATAATACATAAATGAGAGAAATATTATGGAAAATATTGGAACATTTCTTTAGTCAGCTGATTGAACAAAACAGCTGACTAATAAAATCAGCTGATGGTGTTCGTTGAATCTCTGTCGAATTATTTCTTGAAGTGTCAAAAGAAATATTTTTTTTATTTTTTTCTTTTTTGACATATGTACCAAAAGGCAAATTAAACCACGACTAAACAATGATTTATCAAAAAACGGGTGCGGCGTAGTGCTCATTAAGGAATGGATATTTAAAGATCATTTTACAGAGAGAGAGTCTATAAGGATGTATGTTACATATAACTTAATACATTTATGGTACCTTTGACATTTTTGCAAGTTGAACATTCTGTCAAGTTCATAGGAAAACTAAACTAATGGCGTCATCTTTATTGAAAATTGACATTAGTGTTTTGTTTCTTGCCAGAATCGAATACTGTAGAACTCAATTCGATTATCATTGCATTCCGATGACCAAGAAATTAAATAAGAAAAAAACGTTTACACCAAAACCGTACACATATAACTTTATAACACAGATTATGTACAAAAAAAAAAAAATGTACAATAAAATGGGTGGCCCAACGAAAAAAAATATATATAAAATACTCTGGCCCAATTTGTATGTTTTTGGAATGACACCGTTTAAAAATTGTCATTTTATTCCAAAAGTTTTACAAAAAAAATGTATATAAAAAAAATGTTCCTTGTTAATTCTTTTATTCCCAAATAATTTGACATTTGGTTTACACAACACAAAACAACAACTAAATGAAAAGTTCAAAGAACCACTTTATTGCATATATAAATGTTTTGTATGTATGTACAAGATATTGATATATTTATAAATACATACATATGTACGTATTTGTGTCGATATACAAGCATTGCATTCACCTCGACCAATAACTGACAGAGCAGAGTCGATATCCAATGAACATATAAATAAATTTCCTAACGACAGCAATATTGTCATAAAAACACGTGACTTTTAATTGATAGCCAAACGAAATTGATATTGAATGGTATGGGGATGGGGATGGAATGTTGAGCAAATTTGTTTTTGTGTTATATAGCATAGGATATGGGAAATTCATTTTTTGTGATAGCATTGAAGTATGACTGATGCATAGAAACTTCTGATGGGCGAATGAGGAATTTATTACCACAACTTGTTTAAGTAAAACATATAAATTTTATTATAATTTTCTTTTTAATGTCAAATAAATTATGTACTTTGTTCGACATATAAACATAGACTAAAACATGTACATTAGAATTTTTTACTGGTTTAACCAACTTTATGAGGATTTAAAGCGAGTTTGCACTACTGAATCCACTCGATTTCAAATGTCAATTCCATAGTGTATACGTCACTTTAATCATGTCCACAAATCTGGTGGATTATACTTGGATTTGACATTTGAAATCGAGTAGATTTAGTAGATCTAAACAAACTTTTATTTGACATATAACCAATGGAATTGGCGATTTAAAACAAATGGGTTAACGAAATCCAGTACAATGTAAATGTACTATAAATGATTTGCCTAAATATAATCAAAGTAATAATAGAAACATTTTAATAAACACGAAATTAAAATATATGTAAACGATTTATAGATCTCTATATTTGTTTATAGACATCTACATCGATTTTTAGAGATCTAAATCTATTTACATCGAAAATGTTTTACGGAAATTGACACTTGTTTGACATCTAATGACAACTTTTAATGGTGTAAATGTGCCCTAAATAAATAGCAATGGACTGAGTGTTTTAGTTTTAAATTATTAGTCATGATGCAATTATACAAGGTAACTGCAATACTCAGCTGATTTTTTTATATCGTAATACTCGTGTCATGTTCGATATGAGACTTTTGATTTATGTAGAACGACCCATTATATTTGAAATTAGAAATACGATAATACAATTACAACACCATTTTGTGTAATGTTTGACATTTATCTTTGCTATATTCCCAAATCTGCAAAAGATGGGAAAATATAGTATCGGGGTTTAATTTTTTTCTGAACTCGTTTTGCAACCATGAATAGGCACGAGAAGTTCAATTATATTAATTTAAAATAGAACTAATCAGGCGTTAACAATTATAAATTTTCATATCATTAAAATAGCATCAGAAGTTCGTTGCCCTTTGGTTTACAATTTACTTCAATTTCCTAATGGGAAAATTTGAAGCAGCAAATCCTTTTAAAATGAAAAATTGCAAGTTTTAACGATATTTTTATATGAGATACCTCTACATATGGCAATGACTCAATTAGATGGAAGGTCTGAAAGCGATGGAATTATAAATTTGCAAGATTTTCATTCGCGTTTTTCAATTTATTCTGAAAATTCAGAAATGTTGTATTTTGAAAATAAATAAAATGTATTGATATTTCGCATTTTTGTTTACATTTTTCGACATATCAAACTTATATACACCGTTTTCTGACCGAAAAACAAAAATATATAGCGTAAAAAAACGTTTTAAATAACCTTCGTCTTAGGGCACATTTACAACGAACGTGTTTTATGTTCAATTATCAATTTTTAAATGACATTTAAATTGTCATTTTTCTTTTGAATACATATACAATATTTGACCTTTTCCTTTATAACATATTCGGTATAAATGTACTATTAAGGTACGTTTAGATTTACTCACTCGATCTCAACTGCCAATTCAATTGTGTATACGTCAAATATAATTCTCCATTTACCATACAAAATTTAATCCAATCAATATCTCGATTTGTCGAAATCCAATGCTAAATCAAGATAATTTCAAATACAACCCAACTTTTGTGAAAAAAAAACTAATCGTTTCTCCTTAAAGTATGTTTTAAAAAACAAATATAAGTCAGCTGCTGAAATAGTATATCTTTTTGCATTAATAATAAAAAGTACATACTATAATTTAGAACAACAAATGTTGTTACGCATTTCTGATTATGAAAGTATTGTTTAAAAATCAGGAAAGCTGTTAAATGTATATGTATACGTAAACAAATAACAGCTGACAAATCCATTTGCTTTCATTTTAATACTAGTCTAAACAGTTAGGATTTGATATCTCGATTTACAAATCGAGTCGATTTAGAAGGCATAGTCTAAACGTAGCCTTAGTTTTAGTTTGATTGTTCGATTGATCAAAACATATGATTGTCCCCAGTCAAACATACGATTAAAATATTATTATACACTAAGGGTTGCCATATTGTAATGTATTATCATCGTATATTTTGCAGTGTTGATATTAAGAAAAACTCAAATTAAGTGAAAAATATGAGTTTCTTGTAGATAGAAGAAACTAAAAGATATATAAATACCTAAAAAATATTCTTATAAATAATAAAAAAAATAAAGGGGAAGAAGAGAAAAGAAACAATAAATAACTAAAAAAAATACAATATTTCAGAAGTAGAAATAAAGTTAACTTAAAAATCGATTCTTATTAAAGATATAATAATAGGCTTAAACTTAGGAGACCAAAAAAGAAAATAAAATATTTGATTTAAAAATAAATAATAATACAAATCAAATACATAAAAAACGGTAGTTATATAGAGACAAAAGGTTTCTTTTGTTTTAAAGATAGATATAACTTTTTTCCTCTTTTCATTATTTTATCTGATTGAAGTTTTGTCATTTAGAGGAACAGATAAAGTTGGAGTTATAGAAATAGATAGAGAGGTACTATACGATAACCAAAAAAATATAACAATAACAAACAAAATGTTTGACATTAACTTACCAGGTGATTGAGCATAAATCGCTAAAAATATTGAGAGGAATGAAAATAGGCCTGCCAAAAATTTTGCCTCCATCTTTGGTATTGATCCGTGGTTTGTACTTTAAAGCTTATCTTTAATGGATTAAATTTATCTAAATGATAATTTTTGTTAGCGTTTGCTTTGTTACCGTTGTTCGGGGGCGGGTGTTGTTGTAGTATTTAGTTGTTTTTGTTGTTGTTGCTGCTGTTGTTTTTTCTTTTATTGTTGTAATAATGGATGACCTTTTCAGAAACAAAAAAAAACACGTGTGTGGTAGGAGGTTGGTTGATAGATAGCTAAATAGATAGGTAGAGTAGATAATATAGTAGTTGTAGTAGTAGCAGCAGTGGTATATATGACGTTTTGTTTTTAATCCTTATTTGGTTGTTATTGATTTGTTGACAATTATTTGTTGTTGTTGTTGTTGTTATTTTTGTTGCAATGATGATTATCTTATTTTTTGCTTTGACTTATTTAACAGAATTTGCTTTATACAACTTTATTTTTTGTTTTTTTTTTTTGGTTTTAATTTGCTATTAAATTTTCTTTTTTTTAAATTAATTAATTATTATTTTCTTTTTGTTTTCTTAGATTTTGTTATTTTATTTTTTTTTTTTCTTAGAATGATTTGTATGATTTTGTTGTTGTTGTTGCTATTTTTGATGTTGTTAGTAGAATTATTATTATTTTTTTGTTTGTTTGTTTGTTTTGTTGCTATATCTGGATTTTTTGTTTGTTTTTCAATTTCAGAGGTCGTCGTCTTGCAATCTGTTTTTTTGTTCTGTCTTCGTACCGTTTTCTTCTTGCTCTGAATCTACGCGGCGTGAACGTTGTCGTCATAAATTAACGAGAGCTGTAAAAGAAGAAGCAGAAAAAATAAATTAATTAATATCTTCCATCGATTTTATCAATTAATTGAAAAGAAAAAAAATAAAAATAACAATTCTATGGAAACATCTTAAATGATTAGTTTGTGTATCATATAAAAATATTTTAATCAAGTTAATATTCAGTTCAAAATGTTGGAGAAATTTCTTGAAGTTGGCTATATTTCCAATTGCTTATGAAATTCAGATTCTGCATATTTGCCAGGTAATCTATTAACAATAGTTTTAATCTAAATTGCAAGTGTGTACTCCCCTTAATAATTACAAAGCTTTGCGTTTTATTAAATAATGATGTTTGATGATAGAATTGTGGTATAAATTAATGAGGAAATTGCAAAATATAATCGTGATTTTGAAGTACTTTCATCATGTTTGTAATCACACAGTCTCTTTCGAATGTTGATAATTACAATTACAAAGGCAACGGAACGAAGCATATATTGTGAAGTTCAAAAACAAAGTTGTTCAATTAAAGGAACACGGGAACTAGTTCCATGAAGTTGCATATATTTAAACCAATAGAATGCGAAATAAATCGATTAGCATTGTAGAATGTTACAATATGAAAATAATGGAATTCAATGTGCATGATAAGGCAAACCAATAAATTTGTTCTTATTTTAATTTAGTTTCATTTATTTATTATAAGTTTATTTATACAAAAGTTGCATTTATTTAGAAATAATAACTTCAACATTTGAAACCAAAATCAATTTGATTAAAACACTTTCTGGCCATACTGTATGCATACATTTAGGCATATATGTGTAAAAAAATGTATATGAATAAGAATATCTCATTAAACAAAACATATATGTCTACACACCATTATAAGCCAAAACAAATGACACTTAAAAAATATTGCAAATTTTTTCTGATAACACACACAATATCAAAACAGACAGAGAAAGAGATCGGGAGAGAGAGAGAGAGTGGTGCTGTCATTTGCTGTCTTTTTTTAGATTGCTTTTTCTGTTCAATTTTGGTTCAAAACATTTTAGTCATTCCATATTAACAAAATAAAAATTATAATTAAACGAACATTAAAACAATGAATACTAATATGTATATTGGCAATAATATTTTATTCCTATTATATTGTCAAAATTTCGCGAAAATGTGTTGATAAAAAGTGGACATTAATATAATGCGAAGAAAAAAAAAATAAGTAGAATTTTTTCTAGATTATAAAATTTATCATCATTCGTTTTTAATTTTCATTTATATTGATCTTTTCCCGACCATCTGTCAAACTTTTCCTTATAATATTTCATATGGTTGCACATCGAATCCAAGTAGAAATTATCCATTTTGAAAGATAATCGAGTCATCAGCTACGTTAAATGGTCAACCTATTTATTGTGCCATGATTCAACCATGTTTAGATTTATAATGTATTATTAAATAATCCAGATAAATGAAATAATTAAATATCGTAGTTGAAACAATCTATGCATTGAAAATAAGCAATGTAACCAATGTAACAATTTTACTCGGCATATATTGTTTGACTTTTAATAGTCGCATGAATGTGATTTAGAGGCACTGTCATTTAGCGTTGACATTTTTACAAGTTGCCCATTTATCCACGACTACACAATTACAAAGTCAAAGGAACGAAGCTAATATTTTGAAGTTCACAAATCATATGGTTGAAGTAAATGGAGATACAGAACTAGTTCACCACTATTTGTTGAATAAATTTTAACAATTATCGATCGATCTTTTTTTAAGAACATTTATTAAAGTAAAATAACGAAATATATATATATATATATACCATGGCATAATTATACAAGGTAGTCTTATGTAGTCACATGCTTCCAACTTTTTCTTAATAATAATAATTATATATTGTAACAACCAGAGTTCAATCTTGTTCTCAAGTTTTAACTCTGTGATGATTCAGAAAAAATTTATATTTTTTTGAAAATATGCCAATCGACATGCTTAGAACTTTATGTAATATATTTCTCATTTTATATGAAATTGATACACGAATTACAAATTAAAAAGTAGTTGCCATTATTAATTTCTTAAATGAATGATAATTATGTCACGGGCTAAACTTTACTCAGATCTCATCAACATGGTATCTTCAGTCGCCTCTATACGTCTAATTTTTTCTTTGAGACATTATATGAATATATTTATGTTGAGCAAACCGATGCTATTTATGCAGATTTTAGTAAGACTTTTGATAAAGCTAACCACAGTCAAATTTGTTCGTATGAGTTTAAATCCAAAATTAATTTAATTTTGCTAACAAAATAGATCGCAAATATTTTTGTTCCAAAACCATATTTTCGAATTAAAAAGGAGTTCTTTATTGGTGATCAGTCATATATAAATTTCATATTCAAAATTAGTTGAATATATCTCTTACTGAAGCATTACTAATAGTATGTTTACATTGTATCGGATTTGTTAAATCCAGAAGATTCCATTACATATATGTCAAATAAATTCACATAAAGGATAACCTCATTTTACCCGGCAAAAGGTTATAATAGTTCCGTTCCAGAACCTAAAAGAATCTACTAATTTTACAAGTTTTGCAACTTTTTACTAGAAACCCGTTCCTGAACCCACAAAACTGGTAAAACATTGAACCAAATTTAAGAGGTCACAAAACAAAATGGCGTTCTCTTTGAAAACTTTTTACACGAAAAATTTGTCCGAGTAAAAATGGTAACAGGAATGCCAACTGCTGATTGGCTGTCCATATAATTTTGGCATATTTACAAGATTTGCATTCCCGAACCTTTCAAATTATTTTGTATTCTGAGAGCGATTTTGAAAATTTCCCCTTTTACTAGCTTTACTTTTAAAAAGTACTGGAACAGACCAAATGTAAATGCCGTTTTGGAATATATTTGATTTGTTCCCGACTAGTAGATGATTTTTACAGATATTAAAACAAAGCACATATAATTACACGGGTAATAACGACTAATAGCGTCGAAATTTTGATTAAACCCTGTGGCACAGAATTCGCTGATTCATAAGTTACAAAACAATTTTATGCAGGTTTCGTGGGCACAATTTTATAATTTTCAGGTGTGTTAACTTCTTTAGATTGCTATTGATTTGAATAACTCTGGAAACTGAAACGAAATCGCTATGCTTAGTTCAAATGTGGCAACATCATTATATATGTCTTATGGATTTATTACACTTATAAAATCAAAAGTGGCTTCATTCTGATACAAGTTTTCGTTTTTCACTTTCTGAAGAAGCTATACGTAATTAATTCCACATTTGATCGGAATTCATTTCTGTGAGATATCTGATTGGTTTCTTATACGGCATTTACATTAGAACTTTTTACTGGGTTAACCTACTTTATGAGGATTTATTTGACATATATTCAAAGGAATTGAAAATTTAAACCCACTGGGTTAACCAAATCCGATTCAATGTAAACGACCTTTTATTTGGGACCCATATTTTTTTAATATTTATTTAACTGTTTAGACTAGTTTAAATTTTGGCACTTTAAGGGAAAGTGATCCAATTTTTGGTGCAATATAATCTAGATTTCGCACAGAAGTTCAAGCAAATATAAATGAGTGAATTTAAATCGAGAAATTGAATACTATCACGATATAAGATATCGTTTTCACACTTTATTTTTTTTTTTTTTTTTTTTTTTTTTATTTATTTATTATTTTGGTTGGCCCACTTTCTATAGGGATAGAAGGTTTAGTGCCATGTATCCGTATGTAGCTTTGCTAAAATTTGACTTTATCCATAGATGGTGGTTTGTGTTTTGCAGGTTGACTTCGATCTTCTTTAAGAATTTGACCACAATGTTCAGACTTTCTAAGCCTTGTGTATCAGTGAACTCTTCTACTGTGAAGGAGTCACATAGTAGCGAAAAGCATCTTCTTTTGCTATTAAATTTACGAAAATTAAAAATTTCATGCGCAGCTGTTTGGATTTTGTTGAACGAAATTCGTAATTTATAGGTTATCCGTATTTAAAAACACACGTGTTAGTTAAGCGAACGCTTAACAACCGCCATTTTGTAAAAATCTATTTTTAAGCCCGTGGGCGTGTAGTACTCATTTAAAATTTTTTTACGTCCTTCTTGTGAGCCGTCCGAGGAAGATATCGTTTTCACACTTTATTTTGTTGCAAACATGTATTTTGATTTATGTAGTACCTATGCTGATGGGTACGTAAGTATGTTTTAATATCCCAACTTTATATTCATGATGAATCACAAAGCGTATAATACGTTTTGTACGTAGACGTATAAATACAAAAAAAAACACAACA